CATCTCTTCAGTTTTTATGCGTTTTTTGCAGCTATGCAATACAGAAAACGTATACTGACGAAAGATTTTCTGTGTCCGTGTGCGTCCATCACCATCACTCCCCTCTTAAGTATTTGCGTCTGTACCGATTTTTCATCTCAGGACCAATAAAAGCTACAAAAATCTGCGGGGAGCTTTGCAAAAAACGCATCTTCGCACGGGCAGCCAATTATTCTATACTTCTTTCACTTACTGTAGTCTTCGCTTGTTTTACCCGGATGGCCAGTATTATCAGGCGGGGCGGTTAGTCTGTTCAAATGCCGAACGTAGTGTTCGTAGCTTTTCTCTCATTGAGGCTACTTGCGCCAGTTTGTTAGACAATCAACTTATTATTCTTTCTTCAGGCTTAGGGCAGCAGTTTTTTGACTGCAAGATGCCAGTCGCTGATATAACTGTTATACGGCCCTCTGCAAACTTCGTTTCGGTTATGAGCTCATTTCGAGGTTATTTTTTCAGGTCTTCCAAAAAGGCGGTTTGTTCCGGAGCGATATGTTGGTTGGAACCGCTGATTGCAAATTAAGCGATCTGGAAGAAAAAGCCCATATCCATGAATGCGTAGATTTGATGGAGGGCAGGAAGCAGGCTGGAGGAAAATTGGAATATCGGGTTAGTTCCCATCATTGCCAGATTTTCTTTCCCATTGTTTATTTGTTCTGTGCCCATTCTGAAGCTGACGATAATGGAAAATGCATCTCGAAAATTTCAGGTCCGAATTCGTGAGCCTTTGGGTGAAAAGAAGCTGAATCTAAAGCAAGAGAAATGGTTGCTGTTGGAGACATAAATTTGAAAACTTGATCTTCACTGTAATTAGACTTATATACCAGTTCACCCTCCTCTTAGACGAGGCGTACTCCATTCCCTCTTTGTTGGCTTTTTTTCAGTTACGCGTGTTGGGAGTGAGATTTGACCGATACTCTTAAATCCAGTGACATTCCACGCATAGAATTAGAATTTTAGCTCCAAATAGGCAATGTATAAAACCCTTTCCTTGTTTAATAATACGTTTCACAGTGCTAATCTACTATGGATGCGATAGCTAATTTGTTACTAAAATTAGCTAGTTGATTATGGCGCCATGGATGCAGAAAAAAAGACCCTTAGAAGTGCCACAGTGCTTTTGGAAAGCCGCATCTCTGCCCCTCCATCCCGACTTACTTCTGCTGTTCGGGCTTGTTAGATTGGGACGGACGATGGCTTGAAAGTGGAATAACGCAGAAACTGCAACGCATCTATTATTCCTGCACTGAAGTTCTGTATTATACGATATTTGATTGCTTATTATTGCTGCACTGAGAATAAAAACCCAGGCTGGAACGCACCAGGCGGGCCGGTGCGATTATGCGTTTTTGCACTTTTCGTGC